AAATCTGTATAAAATGTTTTATAGATGGCACATGACACCAGTAAGATTAGCGAAAATGTTTAAAAATACTTTGAATAATTGCTGGAAATGTAAACAAAGGCCAGGTACTTACTATCATATCTGGCGGACATGCCCTAAAGCAGTGGTTCTCAACCTTTTTAATGCCGTGACCCCAACCAGTCGTAAGTCGAGGACTAAACCGGTCGTAAGTCGAGAACTAAACCGGTTGTAAGTCGAGGACTTTCCCTGCCCGGGAGCGCCGCGCATGCATGGTTCCGCCCCCTGCGCCGGCCGAGGCGTAGCTGGCAAGCGGCAGAGACGGAGCAGGCCAACCACCAGCTGGCCCAGCCCAAGGGAGGTAAGGCACCCACCGGAAAAGGGGGGGAAAATGGTGGACAAAAAAAATGGCGGACAGCCTTGCTTGGCGACCCCCATGAAATGGTCGATCGACCCCAAATGGGGTCCTGACCCACAGGTTGAGAACCACTGCCCTAAAGCAAAAAGGTTTTGCATGGTTGGAAAAGATGATTAAAAGACAGATAGAATTTAAAGCAGAACTGATTTTGTTAGGAATATTAGGATCTAATTATGAGAAGGAGAACAAATATTTAATATTGCATGTACTGACAGCAGGGAGAATAGCATTTGCCCAATACTGGGAAAATGAAAACTTAACAACTGAAGAGGTTTTAATTAAGAAAATCTTAGAATGTGCAGAAATGGATAGATTGGTTTTAGAGAGTAAAGAGAAAGAAGATTCAGTTTACTTTAGAACATGGGATACTTTTTACCAATGGTTTAGGAAAACGAACTAGTGAGAAATGAATGTGCTATGCTATTTTGAATATATATTAGTAAGAAGAATGATATGCATTGACCAACTGACACTGTTTATGATTATCGTTTATCATATTTACTATAGCTTTTTACCATTATGTCAATTATTGTTAACTGAACATATGTACCCAAACATCCTGGTCTCTGCTTCCTTGGGCCAGGCTGGGTCATTGGGCCTTCCAGGTAGCCTCCGTTGGCTACTTACGTTCTCCGTTCTGAGGAAGAGGCACTCCTTTGTCCTCCCACTCCTCTTCCTTTGGGTGACCCCTGGGAAAAGGAGAGGCAGGTGCTCAGCAAACATTTAGGTCTCCCCCAGATGAAGAAAGCCCCCCCAAATCAGAGCCTTCTTGGCAGCCCTCTCCCCCTGGAGACCCCATCCCCTCTATTCAGAAGCTCTTCCTGCTTCACGGAGCTGGTGGATTCTCCTGCCCAGGGGAGAGATTCGCACTGAGGCCTTGGGCAACTCCTGCTCCCTCTACGAGGGCAATTCGGAGATCAAGCTCCGTTTGGGGATCCAGGACAGACCCTCCCAGAGATACCTGCAGGAGCTGCAGAAGGAGGGGTGCTGGGGGGTCAGGAAGAGCCCGATCCAGAGTCTCCACTCACCACACGGCTCCCTCTTGACCAATATACTGTGCAAGGAGCCCTGAAGGCGGCTTGGAGGGACAATGGAAGGTCCCCCCCACCCCAAAAACCCCTTCTCAGGACCCAGTTTCAAAGGTCCAGTGTCCCCCCTCCCTCCCTCTGTGACCCTCTGACCGCCTTTTGGACCTTGGCCCCCGGACTCCATTTTCAGCCGTTTGTGCTCCCTCACAGTCACGTGACCACAATTTACACTTTTGCACAAACTGGCATTTGCTTCCGATTCCTAGCAAAAAAAAAAAAAAGCCCCATAGGAAACAATGGGTTTGCCTAATTACTCTGGTCTTCGCTTAATGACTACAGTGTTCGCTTAACAACTGCCAGAAGTGACCCACTTTATGACTGTCACAACTTACAGCCACAATTGCAGGTTCGCTATGATTGTGAGGGATGTCCTCTTTACTGTTCATTTATTTTTATGTTCAGTAAGCCTGATGACGTGAGGAGTAATGTATAAATAAAAATTAAATGCCATCGAAAATTGTATCCATCCTTATTCGAGAAAAATGGAATCCCTCTGATTGATTCACACTATTGAAAAAGAACGTGAAAGGATTATAAAACATGAGATAAAACCTATCCAAACAAAAAGAATATTTTCCAATAGACACAAGCTGATTCCTCGCTTTCCTTAAGTCTCTTGTTAAAGAACCTGTTTGCCATTCAGCCGTAAAAGAAAAGAAAAAAAACAGTCGAAGGTATAAAACTAGACTAGATAGCAGGTCTGGGGCCTAACAATGTTATGTAGCATATAAGCCATTTTTCCCCCTTTTGTAAGCAAACAAACTCTTCCTCAGCGTCTTCTAAAAATCCCTCAAGTCTTCTTTGGACTAATATAACCCAAAATTAAGTATTGTGACTGATTTTTCAGCAAGAGTCCTTCAAGGCTATAAGCAGAGTGTCTCTTGTTTAAAACAGGGGTCGGCAACCTTGGCCCTTTTATGACTCTGGACTTCAACTCCCAGAATTCCTGAGCCAGCCATGCTGAGGGGAAAGGGAGAGGTTTCCAAGCTGAGCCATGCTGGCTGAGGAATTCTGGGAGTTGAAGTCCACCAGTCATAAAAGAGCCAAGGTTGCCTATCCCTGGTTTAGAAGGGAAAAAACCCCACATAATTGCAGCCATTTCTGCCATGGCCCCAGCATGCCACAGCTTCTAGAAACCATGAATTTGGTCTGATCAGTTTAGTGACTTTCAGTTTAATTTAGAAAAATGTCTCCAGTGGTTTGAGACGTCCTCTTCCAAATTCTAAGAAAAAAAATACCCATGTATTATTTTCACTATAAATCTACTACCATGCAGTGGATGAAAAGAAGAATCCCCTTTGAAAATGCACAGATGGTTTAATTTTCCTCCATTATACAGGCCTGGTTCATAATCACAATCCCATCATCCACCCAGCTTCCCCCCCCCCCCCCAAGACTGGAAAATGTCAACTTTACCTCATTTAACCTCTGAAATGGATTTTTGCTACTATTGGTAACCGTCCTTTTCCAAGGATTTTTGTGTCTATGATCATGTGGCTACGATATTATTGATCTCAAAGCCAATAAACAGATCTCTTCACAGTATAAATATGGATGACAAGGGGGGGAAAAGGACACAAAATCCCTCTGGAGAGAAACTTTTTGCCTGTTAGCAATTATTAGCAACAGCTATTTGAGGATTTTTTTTAAAGAATCCTGATGCTGATGCACCTTCTTAATTTTTCAGACCATCAGTTAGGGCTCACTGCTAGAGGAGGGTTGTTGCAAAAAAAGATTATTGGGTGGGTGAATTGTCGTAAAAGCCTCTCTGTCTATTTTTTTTTAAAAAAATGGTTTTGGTTGAGGCTTGGCAGTACTCAGAGGTCTGGGTTCAAGAGTTCCTTGAGTCTCCATCTACACTTTGGGCTGACTCCTATCTGTTGGGGAAGAGGGTCAATTGGGGGAAAACTAGTGTAGGATTGCTTGCCTCTGGGGATCACTAAATGAAATCCAATTTCCACTTTTGGAGAAGCTCCCTGTAAGAGCGGAATCCAGACAGGCCTCAACTAGCAGGTCTCAGACCAGAGAGACAATTACATAAATAAATCTGTGTCTTCAAGGCCGCCAAGTAAACCACACTAGTGAAGAGAAGGATCAGGGGAGAGTTGATAGCAGACTTCCAATGTTTGAGGGGCTGACCCAGAGAGGAGGGGGCCAACCTATTTTCCAAAGCACCTGAAGGGCAGACAAGGAATAATGGATGGAAACTGATCAAGGAGAGATTCAACCTAGGAATAAAGAGAAATTCCTTGACATTAGGAACAATTAACCAGTAGAACAATTTGCCTTCAGGAATTGTGGAAGCTTCATCTCTGGAGGCTTTTAATAAGAAATTGGATAAATGTTTCTCTGAAATGGTATTGGGTCTCCTGCCTAAGCAGTGGGTTGGGCTAGAAGACCTCCAAGGTCCCTTCCAGCTCTAACTCAGTTCTGGGAGTTGAAGTCCACACATCTTAAAGTTACCAAGTCTGAAAAAATATTATGCTCAGATCAGTCTTTCTCAACCTTGGCAACTTTCAGATGTCTGGACTTGGCTGGCTGGAGAATCAAGTCCAGACATTTAATGAAGGAGAGAAGCAACCTGGAACTAAGGAGAAACTTCCTGGCAGTGAGAACAAGGAATCAGTGGAACCACCTGCCTCCAGATGTTGTGGGTGCTCCCATACAGGAGGTCTTTAAGAAGAGTCTGGACAGCCCATCTTTTGTTCTTATTTCTATAGGTGCCAATCCCAGCAAATGACTTTGGGAGGCTCACAATTCAAAACATATTTTTCAATTAAAATTCTAAAAACATTTTAAACAGTAGAAATAGTAAAAAGCATTAAAACAGGAAAAAAACAGTAATATTTGCACTTTAGAGTGCAAAGCTTTAAAATAGAATAGAATAGAATAGAATAGAATAGAATAGAATAGAATAGAATAGAATAGAATAGAATAGAATAGTTCATATTTACGACGGTCGCAGCATCCCAGGGTCAAGTGATCAACTTTTGCCACCTTCTGACAAGCAAAGTTAAGAGGAGGGAAATAAACACCAAATCATCACCATTTTCGCATGAGCATTAATAAATGGTTCTCAAGGTGGGAGAACTCAATGTGACTGTTGCACAAATAAAGATGGACCCCCAATTCACATATCCCCCCCCCACACACACAAAGAGTTAGTCACAACTGCAGTTGACTTTGAATCTCCTGCTTGTGCGGAAAAGCAGGACGGAGAAGAACATGTTTCTTGGAAGGAGCAAGATAGACCGAGAAGCTAGATAGAAATCAAACATTTATCTCTTTGGACATTAAAACGGTTGCAACCACAGAAAGCCAGGGAACTTTCCAGAAACAGGAGATGCAGATCAGATCAGCAGTTCCATCAGTGGCCTTGGTGCAGCTGTGGAGGGTCACTTTCCCCAGCATAAGAAGACAAAGAGAGAGAGAGATTTTTTTTTAAAAAGGATTATCTTATTTAAGTGAAAAACATTGCTATCTGAAGATATCGGGAGATGAGTGGCAATTCCCTTGCAGGAGTCCGTTCAATGCAGTGGGAAGTGGCAGTTTTGGGTTGCCTGCCTTGGTATAAAAGGACTGCTGCGTTTTTGTTTCACAACTGCCGCTTCGCCTTCCGTGGGACAGCCCGGCTTGAGGTGAGGTTTCCGTTTTCTTGCTAAAGTCCCCTCTGTGTAGTTCTTACACAAAGCCACACTTTATTTCTCCAGTGAGAATTAGAATAGAATAGAATAGAATAGAATAGAATAGAATAGAATAGAATAGAATAGAATAGAATAGAATATGTGGAATGGAATGGAATGGAATGGAATTGGAATAGAATAGAAGAGAAGAGAAGAGAAGAGAAGAGAAGAGAAGAGAAGAGAAGAGAAGAGAAGAGAAGAGAAGAGAAGAGAAGAGAAGAGAAGAGAGGAGAGGAGAGGAGAGGAGAGGAGAGGAGAAGAGAATATACTGTAGAATATAGAATAGAATAGAATAGAATATAGAATAAATATAGAATAGAATATAAAATATGAAATATACAATAGAATAGAATAGAATAGAATAGAATAGAATAGAATAGAATAGAATA